TTTGAAATTATATGATTCAGTCAAGAAGTCATTTTCTTTCCCAGTTTGCTGGGCTTCCTATAAGAATGCAAATCACCAGAGCAAAGGCAAAGAGCCTGAAAACCGAGTGCTCAGTCTTCTTTATCACCATTTCATTTTGGCCCAAACATAGCAGCGAGGAACAATTCAGATGTGAATAGATTATTTGGGATCTCTGCATTTTAACTTCAAGACTATTTGTGTACATGCATGAAAGCAAAGCCAAGACCCAGGATGGAAACCTCTCAGATGCAATTAGAATCAAGCGCTGTTGGGTGGGAGGAAGGGAGTCCTCACAAGCCCTGGGCACGGGTCAGAAGCCTGTCAACCCCGAGAGTGGCCAGGGGCTGCAGACCACTAATAACCACCAGATCTAGTTCACGTCGCTTTAGATGCGTCTCCCTCAGGACAGAGATCACTCAATCTGCAGTGAGCCCATGACGACACGTGGGGGTGACCTTCAACTAGGGCGAACTCCTCCTTGAGGCCTCCACCGCAACTTTTTCTTCTCACCATTCCATCATATTCCATGATTGAATATGAACTTTTTTTGTATGGTGCTGGGGTTTGAGTAAACATAGGGCATCATGATAACTAGGCAGGTCTCTGCCCTTGAGCCACACGTACAGCCCTTTTTTGTTTTAGATATTTTTTAAGTAGGGTCTCCAATTTTTGTCCAGATTAGCCTCCCTCATAGATGGGATTATGTGTGCGTGTGTGTGTGTGTGTGTGTGTGTGTGTGTGTGTGTGTGTGTGTGTGTGTGTGTGTGTGTGTGTGTGTGTGTGTGTGTGTGTGTATTCACTACTATACCCACGTTATTGACTGAAATGCAGTCACACAGGTGCCAGACTGCATCTGTTTTCTTTCAGCTCTTTACCTTATTTCCTAAAATATACATGTATAGCTTTGACCAAGAATGGCTTTTTAATTTTTAAACTTGGATGTAAGCTAGCTTTTCAACAATTTAGTTTATGCTGGGAGCAAAACATATATGACTCTGTAAACCTATCTTTACATCTAGTTCTGTGGTTTGCTCAAACCAACCATCTTTTAAATGCATCTTGCAAAGTTCCCCTCTACATCTTAGCCCAGGCAATAACCCAGCTGGGACAAAGCAGAAGGCCGCAGATGGTGGGGTGACAGCCAGTGTGCCCACACCCCTTTCCTAAGAGGGAAGGACTAGGTGACCCAGCAGAGGTTACCATTTCCTTTTCACAGAGGGGACAGACTTTGAGAGGGGGTGAGTGTCCACAAGAGCCAGGGAGGTGGGGGTTCCTCCCCACAGCCCCTGCTGGGCTGCCAGGGAAGGAGTGACACAGTCTATGCTTCTGTTCACCGCTGCCCCCAGCTCTTTCCCAGAGCTTCAGTGCTGTCTGCCGGAGGGTGCCAAGCACAAGGACACCAGAAACTCACCCCTCCCCTCACGGCAGCGCTGTCCCCACAGGCAAGCGGCCGACTGGAGCTGCTAAGGATACTCCTGGAGGCTGATCAGCTCATCGGGGACAAGGGGAGTACAGGGGCCAGAGGAGGACCTGGGACTGGGTAAGTACAAGGCTAGCCCTTGCCAGATGGCCAGGGTCGGCTCTCCTGATGAACACGAAAGCCAGGGCAAGCCCCAGGCCACAGTGGTACCAGATGGGCTCCTCCCAAAGAAACACCCAGCCTTTGATGAAGTTGAGCACCTGTCAATCAAGAACACACTCCAGAGGATTCCCTCACCATCTGGAAAGCTGGTTCACCGATCGCATGCCCATCCAGGTATCTTTACCAGGAAAGTAAGCCCACCCCCTTCATTGTAGTCCACAGCTGTAACCTGTGTTTCTCTCCCAATTAAACAACCAACAACAACAAAAAAGGAACAGTTTAAAAAGCAGAAGAGATGCCAGAGCCCTAAGAAATGTTACCCAGAAAGCCCCTCGATGTCAGGTAAAATAACACCACCTGACACACCTGTCCACCCATGGAGGGAGGTTTGTGTCACTTCCAGAACAAAAGAGGGTACAAACAGGAGTCAGCCCACCAATCATTGGGAAAAACCTGAAAAATCTCACCAGATTTTTTTAAAAGAGTCTTAAGAGACTTGACTCCTGGGTCAAAGCTTGTGAACTTTTTCTAATTATATTTCTAAGCTTACGTTTAAAATTCTTATTATCATCATGATTATTATTAAGCAGTTGCACAAAGGTGTCCTAATTCCAGAAGTCATGTTGTGCATGCAATGCTTCCTGCTCACCCCTTCTTTCACTCTCCCATCCAGACCCTCAAGTTCACTCTTACTTTTTCTGTGTGTACAGCTCCTGGTGCTTGAACTCAGGGCCTACGTGCTTGTCCCTGCGCTTTTGTGCTAAGGCTAGCACTTGAGCCATAGCTCCATTTTGAGCTTTTCAAAAGAGTTTAATTGGAGATAAAAAGCTTTCTTGTCTGGGCTGTCTTTGAACCACAATTCTCAGGTCTCAGCCTGCTGAGCAGCTAGAATTACAGGCATGAGGCACCAGCACTTGGCTCAATCTTACTTTTTAAAAGGGCTAACAAGCTAGGCACTGGTGGCTCACGCCTATAATTCTAGCTACTCAAGAGACTGAGATCTGAGGATCATGGTTCAAAGGCAGCCCAGGCAGGAAAATCTGTGAACTCTTATCTCCAATAAACTATCAGCAAAATGGAAGTGCTGCCATGGCTCAAAGTGGCAGAGTGCTAACCGAGAGCAACAGAAGCTCAGGGACAGCACCTAGGCCCTGAGTTCAAGCCCCATGGATGACCCTCTCCCCACCCTCCACCACAGCCACAAAAAGGAGGAGGGCTAACAACTTACATTCCCACCCACCACCATTCAGGGTGATGCCCACATTTGGACGTCTTCTGTAACCACCCTTTACAGCCCACACTATGGCCCTGGCACTGCCTGGCACTTCTGTGTCACCACTGTCACCATGCTGAATCTGTGCTTTTGTTCTGTGTCGGCATCTAAGATTACCAGGTTTTGTCCATTTTCCATGGGAATCTCCAGAGTTTTTTGTTTTTGTTTTTGCTTTTGAATGAGCTATCCAGGACTCAGGAATAGCTATCTGACTGTAAATGCACTGCAAATACTTTATCCTTAGACTTATCAAAACAAAGCTCCAGATACCCTAGCCAGAGCACACTTTAGTAACATCTGGGGCAGTTTTCTTAATGGTCCCCTATCCCCCCCACCACACACACACACACACACACAATTGGTTTTCCATGGGTCTACATACTCCTGGGTCCTTGCTGCTCCTAAATGTGTCAACACATTTAGGCATGCCCTGCCCATATCTTCTGGGCATATTCTAGTACTTTCCACAATACAGCTTTCTAAACTTTTCACTTAGTTGAAGTTAAGCTTACAGACTTGTAATTTGTAAGACTACAGTTTTTCCTGCTCTTTAAAATGGTCATGTTTTTATGTTGTGTTTTGGTGGTCTGCTTGCCCAGGGTCCTCACAGGAGTGGGGTGGAGGACACACTCCAAGACCACAGCTGCTCACCCCTACAAAGGATGTGCATTTCAGGTCCTTTCTTCTCTGCAGCTTTCCCAATGCTGAGAGTTAATGGAGAATTGTTCACAGGCTGGGAAGGTGGCTAAGTGGTAGAGCGCTTGCCTTGTATGCATGAGGCCCTGGGTTTGATCCCTCAGCACCACATAAGCAGAAAAAGCTGGAAGTGGCGCTGTGGCTCAAGTGGTAGAGCGCTAGCCTTGAGCTGAAGAGCTGAGGGACAGGGCCCAGGCCCAGAGTTCAGGCCCCACGACCGACGAGAAGGGGCGGGGGGGATTGTTCAAGGAAGGTGGAACGAAGGAGGGATGGGTAGGCAAAAGAATAAATTCAGCTCCAAGAGCAGCAAGGGTCTACCTCACAATTCTCCTTCTTTGTCTTCCCTAGGTCTAATCAATTCTTAACCCTTTCCACCCAAAAGCCACCCTCCAATCAAAAAGGTGTTTTTCTGAGCAAGGTGAAGTAGCTCATGCTTGTAATCAGAATATGTGGTTCAAGAAAATGCAGTTCAAAGCCAGCCCAGGGAGAAAGTTCACAAAACACCCTTCTTAACCTACAGCTGGACACAGTGGTATGTGCACCTATTATCCTAGATGACTGGTTAGCTGATTGGGAGGATGGCTGTTCACAGCCAGCCCAGACAGAAAAGTCCAGAGCTCCATCTTAAAGGAAAGAAGCTGGGGGTGGTGGCACAGCTGTCAGTCCAGCAACAATGAAAAGCCTAAGATAGGAGACTGTGGTCTGAGCTCGTCCCTGCGTTGCCTGGACAGGAAGCAAGGCCCTAGCTCAAAAGCAGCCAGCACAGGGGCTGGGAAGGTGGCTCAGTGGTAGAGCGCTTGCCTTGCATGCCTGAGGCCCTGGGTTCGATTTCTCAGCACCACATAAGCAAGAAAAAAAGCCGGAAGTGGCACTGCGGCTCAATTGGTGGAGTGCTAGCCTTGAGCTGAAGAGCTGAGGGATAGTGCCCAGGCCCAGAGTTCAGGCCCCACGACCAGACCCCCAAAAAAAAAAAAAGTAGCCAGCACAAAATAAAATGCTCAGTAGTAGAGTACCTACCTAGCAAGCACAAAGCCCTAAGTTCAACCCCATCTCATCCTCACCAAAGAAAAAAGAAAAAATCAATCTGAATATACAGCATGGTTATCCCATTTGATTTAGTGACTTCCCATAAATTAACCCATGCTGGGCACTTTTGATATAAAGGCAAGTTGCAGTCAAATAAAAGAGCCCATGCTTCTAATTAGCTTTATGTTCATCATCAGCCCCAAGGCTCCTTCCCACCTTTCATGGACCTGGCACAGTGGCACGAATCTTCACAACCACAGACTCTCAGCAGACTGCAGGGTGGGGATGGAGATCACCGTCAGGGCTGCTTTCCTCCTCAAGACAGGCTCCAGCCATCTTGTGCAGCTGGAACACAGGGGCCAGGCCCCTTTCCTCTGTGCTCTGGGCCTCTCCCTGAGGTACCTGACTCCTGGCGAGAATGTGCCATCTGCAGATTCTTCAGGGTCATTACTGGGACTTCTCTGTCAACCAGGGAAGGAATAGACAGGATCTGGCACCTCTTGGAGTCTGATGCACAGACAGGGCGCACTGTCCCCATTTCAAGACCCTAGCCAACAACAGAGCAAAGAGACAACCCCACGTTCCCACTGGAGGGCCGAGGGTGGCAGGTGGCAGAGAAGAGGAGATGAGCACGGTGCACAAGCGGACACTCCCGGCTGCTTGAGTGATTTGCAGTCAGAGGCTCTGCAGCACTGGCTGGCAGCTGCCTGGCTTGTGGGCTTCCTAAGAACAATGGGGGTGAGGGAAGTCCTTGAGAAGTCAGATGTGCTGCTCTCAGTCACCCCAGTACTCCTGACCTCCTTCTTTTCTGCTCCCAAATGTAAATGGAAGTGGGATGGTTAACTTTTCTGTGATGGCATCCATCTGCTCTACTCCAGACTGCAGGGAGCAGAGTGGTCGTGGGGAGGGAGGAGGTGGGGAGGGAGGAGGTAGACAGACTGCAGGGAGCTGAGTGGTGGTGGGGAGGGAGGAGGTGGGGAGGGAGGAGGTACACAGACTGCAGGCAGCTGAGTGGCTGGGGGAGAGGGAGGGTAGAAGTGTCAGACCAGATTTTTTTTGGGGGGGGGGGTGTTGCAGGCAGTCATGGGGCCTGAACTCAGGGCTTGGGCACTGTCCCTCAGCTCTTCAGCTCAAGGCTAACACTCTACCACTTGAGCCACAGTGCCACTTGCAGCTTTTTCTGTGTATGTGGTGCTGAGAAATCGAACTCAGGGCCTCATGCATGCCAGGCAAGCGCTCTACCCCTGAGCTACCTTCCCACCACCTCCGAGCAGATCTTGAATGATTTCTACACACTGGCCAGTATGAGCCAACATGAAAAATGAGATCAGGTCTAGGACCGCAGCTCAGGGTTAGAGCACTTGCAGAACCTACTGAAGGTCCTGGGTTCTAGTCCCAGAACTACAAAAATAAACAAAATTGCTAAGTCACATCATGAGGAGGTAAGACTAGAACACCATGGTAGTTCAAAGGAGACCTCACAGTCTACACTTTGAACACCAGGACCTCTTGGTTAGGCGACTGAAACATGACTCCCGCATCAGTAAGTTCAGAGGGCTCCATCAAATACAAGACACACAGGTAAATGGATCAGCAGATGATTCAAAGACCTCAATGGAAGGGTAGAAGGTGTCCAATTACACAAATGATAATTACAAAACTCACGTACATGCGGTTGTGACCAGCCAGGTCACTGGGACCTGTGTGGCCAGGAAAACTTGTCCATGGGCTTCCTCCGCCACGGCCGTCTTGGACCTGGGTGCCTGGGCCTGCAGGCCATTGATGCAATCTGAATTAACGACGTCCTGAGTGGACTAGCTGCCCAGTTTCAGTACTGACTGGCCCTGGAACACTGACCTTCTTTCTTTCTCACTGTTGCTCAGGTGAGTGGGAAAGTTCAGGGTGTGGCGGGAAGCAATTCCCTGATATAGGAAAGGGGAGTTTACCACATTAAAACTCAGCCGGGAGAACCCAGCTACCAAGAGAGCTGTGGACAAACCATTCCCAAGGCACATTACAAACCCCTGCTAAGAAGGCCGCTGGACTAATGTCAGTCCGGAGAGCCACCATCGGCCGCTGTGAGGTAAAAATTCATTATCCTACCATGGAGCATCTGTCATGAGAGCTATCCAAAGCCCTGCAGCATGGAAGGGAACTTCAGCATGGAAGGGCTCAAGTGTTGAGTTTATAAACTAATTTTCAGATGAGAACTTCACTCAGAAAAAGCTTTCAAACCTGGAAAAACTCACCTTCAGGCTGGAGGTGTGGCTGAGGGCAGAGCATTTGCCTGGCATGTAAAAGGCCAAACAATGGAAAGAAAGGGGAGGGGAGGGGGAGTCATCTTCCTGGAAAACCTGATGTGACAGGAGCAGAACCAACAGGTAAGCTGCTACCACACCACCGCCTGGGCTCCTGGGCCCTCATGTGTACAGACTCCCACCCATTCTGTGGACAAGGTCACTTGACTTGAATTCTAACTGGTGGACTCCAGCAGACATGGTATGCACAAGGGTGGCTCATAAAACCCTCTAATGTAAGGCACTCTCTCTCCATCCACCACTACCTTAGACGGCTGACCGTAAAGCCCTAAGATTCCACACTGCACAAGGGAGCTCTGGTCAACCCCAAATGAAGGGACAATGAGGTTTGGGGTTACATCTGTTACTACCTAACAAAAGTGCCAAAGAATTCACTTCTCCTGAATCCTGCCACCAAACCTCCTTCACACTGCGAAGTCTATCTTCTTCCTCAAATTTAATTCTACTCAGTTTTATGGAAGGGATAAGGTTGATGTCTTCCACCTTGAAACTTCTGCCCCATCACACCCATGATTGCACTACACAGGTATATGTATGCAGCCTTGTGTGTACATGTGCGTATATTGGCAGTACCAGGGTTGAACTCAGGGCCTCCTGCTTAGTAGGCAGGTATGTGTGCATGTGTGTTCACATGTGTGTGTGTGTGTGTATGGTGACACTGCCAGGCCTGATGTCACGGCCTCATGCTTGCTAGGCAGGTACATGGGTATCTGTGGATGTGTGTGCATGTGTCTTCTTGCACATAAGTACATATGTTTTGGCAGTACTTAGGGCTTGAACTTGAGGGCCTCATACTTGCTAGGCAGGTGAGCTGCCACCTGGACACCATGATGGTGAGCAGAGCGTGATGGCGAGCTTCTCTTGGACATCAGGGAGCTCCTTTGTGTGGGCTCCTTGGAAACGCAAATGTAAGCACCAGTATAGCCAAGAGATAAACATCAAGCAGGGGATGGCTGTTAGAGGCACCCCAGGATGAGGAAATGGAGAGGAGATTGTTTTGGCAACAAGACTCTTCTCTTCCACTCTCTCCAGTATTATCTAATCGGGAAGAAATCTAACCATTCTTCCAGAGTCTCTCCTCTGTCCTCTCCACTGGCCTCCAAGGACTTCATCTAGTTTTTTCCAGCCACCTGCAGCGGAAGCAGTCATCCCATGACACATGCAAGCCCAAAGCACCGACCCTGCAAGGCTCAGCATGGTCCCTGTTTGCAGATTGTGGAGGCTGCTTTCTGCTCACTCCCAGCTCCTGAAAAAGACAGTGCAAACTCTAGGCTGTCATCTGCTTCCTTTGATTAGATAATCAGTTTTCTCAGAGGAAGATCAGAAGGCAAACAAGAGCCAATTGTGTGTGCAGGCTCAGATACCAGAGACCCTACTAAGAGACAGCAAAATGTGACAGACTTAGTTTTATTGTCATCTTGTTGTCCTTACAGGGTAACTAACTCTAAGCTATGTTCCAACAGTGTGCTGCTTAGTTTCCCACTCCCCATTCAAAGCAGAGTGGTATCCAGATGGACTATAAGATGACCTTTCCTCACGGTGCCCCAGAGAAAGGACATGGGACCTGGGATGTGGGATGGGGAGGGGGGCTGGAGCAGAGATAGACATGGTAAATTCCAAATGGCTTTCTCAAGGGAGATGTTTCCAGTATCAGAGCTATTCTTTTATGCCACATCAAGAGTTTTTCCAGTTTCATCAACTCTCCAAAGCTACACTGGAAACCCCAATTGCTCCTTGATAAACACATGGTAAAACATGAACTAAGGGTGCAGTCAGTGGGAGGGCCTTACTTAGCACACATGGGACCCTCAGTTCAACCCTCAGTACCAAACAATAACAAAAAGACCATTTTCCCGGTGTTTGGGAAACAAGATGATCTTATTGTCAGACAGTAAGGTCAATCTGTCAAGTGCATGCTGGGTTTCTCCCATCCTGAAAGCCAAGATATGTCTGCTCTTGTCTCAGGGACACAGTCTTCTGCTGCTCTTTGTACCTCCTGGAAGCAAAGCCTAGGAAGGCAGCAGCCAGAGCACCTGCTGGTTTCACCCTGGCTGGAGGAGAGGCCCAAGGCCAGCTGCCTTCCAGGGTCCGCCAAGAACAGCTGGCCCGTGTGGGTGCCTGTCAACAGCTGTCAGGGCAGAGAGGTGGAAGGACGAGCTCAGGACCCACTGTTCCAGGGGGACTTGGCAGTACCAAGAAGCCAAACCTTTGTGCAAACGCCTGTTGCTGCAGAAAGCAAAGGTCTTCCTAAACTGAGGGGACGAGGCTTCCAACTATGGCAGTGTTGAGAGTGTTGAGACTCAAGTGGCAGGCACACAAGGCAGCGCCCCAGGGGTCTCTGTGCACACGGTAAGCTAGCAGGACTCACAGATGAACACCTGAAGCCAGGCAGGCTGTCCTGGGTGAACAAGGCCCTAGGTAGTAATGTAGAAACACAGAAAGTGGCTTTGGGCACAGGACTCTCCAAAAGGCAGAATGTAAGAAGACACCAGAAGAAACAGTCAACAGTTAACAACCTAGATGTTTCCTCAAAAAGCACAAAAGACAGACAAGAAAACAGACTGAGGGAGCCTTGAACCACTATTCAAATAATCCTGAAGAGGCAAGGTAGCAGTATAGAAAACAGTAATCCTAAGAAGCACCCGATTAAGGTCAGTTATGCAATTATGAATACAGGTAAAGTGTTGGGCTGCTAAAAGTAGATCAGGAAAAAAAATCATTTTTGAATAATTATTTTCTACAGTGCAGTAACATATGCAATAACCCTTTCTTAAATATATATGTATATGTGTGTATATATACATATACATACATACATACATATATATACATATATATACATATACACACATACACACACACACACACACACACACACACACACACACATTTAGCTTGGAGAGACACTGCCATTAAAAGTACTCAGGAGACAATTTGCTACAACAAAGAGGAGAAGTCGGTTTCTGAACAGCCACGTGGGCAGAGAAAAAGCCCGACAGGCACAGGCAAGCAGGACATAAACAGCCCTGTACCTCCAACTTTTTGACATTTACCAAAGTGCTGCTTGAGTTATGTCCTGGAATGCAAGGAAGGCATGCTACCAAAAAGGGGAGGGGTGGGTGGAAACATT